TATATACACTTATTTATATTTTGTGTGTGCGCATGCGCGTTCTTATATATGGATTATACCATGGTGGAATTAGATCGACTAATTATACAAAGTTAGTCTTTTCCCAATCATGTACGCACAGAATGCCCTCTATTTGTCTTCTAATTATAAATGAATTATCTATTAACAACAGATAGAATTCGATTAGATACACTACTAATGCACTGGTGCATATTAAAGCTCTTGAACATACTGATTTAATTTAGGTGTAAAATAAATGTAAATAAAATATAAATTATAAAAGAAAAAAAATTTATTTAACAATCAATTAAGAATTGTATATTGTATATTGTTCATTATAAACACAATAAAGAATTTAGAAATAAAATAAGTCAGTATTGAGAATTTCGCGGTTTAATATTTGACCGTTTTTATATTTATATTAAACACATATATATTAATCTTTACGTCAATTTGTGTATGACGGATTTAATGTGCATCAATGCGTAGCAATTAGCAAAATATCCAACTAAAATCGCTAAGAGTCACATTTTATTGGAATGTTTAACAAAAAGACGTTGACAAAATTATGTAATATATATTGATTTATGCGTATTAACATAGCATCAGCAGTTTTAGTAAGAGCAGAAATTTGTGCCATATAGACAGATGGTTGCAATATGGTATGCTCCAATTAGATAAACTTTTTAAAGATAAAAGATTATTGTACATGTGATTGAAGGCTTTTTATACAAAATGACAAATGAGAAGAGTTTTCAATTAAAAAATGTCTACATACGATATATGACACTATAAAAAACTATAAATGCTAGTAGTAAACATCATTTGTAATTATAAAAGAGATGAAGTACCTTAGAAATCATTTTTTGATATTAAAAAATGAAACATTCTTTTATTTAGAAAAGAAAGGACATAAAACTTCTTTATCTAAAATTTTTATTATTATTATATCGAACTTTTATATTGAATCTTTGTTACATTGCGTCTGACAGCTGTTCGATGAATGAAGTTTGTAACATAATTTAAGAAGTCTTCCTAGTAGTTTTAAATTCTTTTGTGAGTTCTCACATTATCCCAGAGATGTTCCTGCGAACGTTGGAACATTCTT